AGGATCAGTTCTTCTTGGTTTCTGCTAAACAATATTTGCAAAATCTGGAAACCAAGAAGATAAGATGGATATTTGCTACTATATTTGGGCTGCCAAAATCCAGAGTAGATGACAAGAAAAAATTGGCATTGAAAAGTCTCTTTGCTGCCATCTAGTGATGATCTGGGTTGCTGCAAGCTGGATCTGCGCTAATTCTTTTTTTTTTTTTTAATTAAAAAGTTTTATAAGTTTTACAAAAAGAACAAAACAATACAAAAACAAAAAACAACATATACAAAAAAAACTAAACATTACACAACAAAACCCCCCTTCCCCAACCCCCAGCCAAACACCCCCCCTTCCCCCCCCCGAGCTTCCCAGAGCAGAATATAGGCTTAATTAAAAAACAATTAAAAAATTATATTTGTAAAAAAAAAAGAAAATATAACATTAAAATATATATGTATATATATAAAAATAAAGATTATGAAAAGGCTATATAATATTTTTTAATATCCAGTTTAAATTGTATAAATTTTATCCATTTATCCCAAACAGCAAGAAATTTCTCTTGCATTTGTTCCTTTAAAAAAGCCGAAATCTTTGCCATTTCCGCCAAATAAGACACTTTAAGAAACCATTCCTGCAATGTAGGCAAAGATTCCTTCTTCCAATATTGTCCTACTAACAGCCTCGCGGCTGTAATCAAATTTAACATCAATATAACCTCCTTTGTATCACAATCAGTAACTATACCCAACAAAAATAATTGCGGAGTAAATTTTACCCTCCTTCTAAAAATTCTCTGGATATTCCACCATATCTTAATCCAAAATGCTTTTATCTCTCTACACGACCACCAAATATGATAAAAAGTAGCATCCATACAACCACATCTCCAACATTTAGGTTGTAAGTCAGGGTACATAAGAGACATTTTTTGTGGATCAAGGTGCCATCTATAAAACATTTTATAAAAATTCTCCCTTAAGTTCTGTGCTTGTGTAAATTTGACATTTCTCACCCAAATATTTTCCCAGGTGTCCAATGGAACTGGCTCACCAAAGTTCTGTGCCCATCTGATTATACAATCTTTAATTAGTTACGTTTCTGAGTCCAATTCAACTAAAACCCCATAAATTCTCTTAGTGTGGGTTTGTCTTTGATCCTTCACTTGCTTAATAAAATTTTCATCTTCTCTAAGAAAACCCACCTTACAATCCACCTTCCATCTATCTACTAGTTGCCTATATTGGAACCAAGAGTAAATAATATTTTCTTGTGCTAACTCTTCCCGTGATTTTAACTGCCAGTTTTGTCCAATTGCAGTGATAAAAATGAATATTCTACCCAAGTTTCTCTTTTTGTTTCAAATGTTACCGATTTTGAAGAATGAGATTAATCTAAGTGAATGGCAGAAAGGCCTTAATAAATTCATTTGGGCAGGGAAAAAGCCAAGGGTTAAGTTTAAAATTATGCAAGACTTCCGTGAGAGGGGTGGACTCAAGGTACCGAATTTGAAATTATACTATGATGCGGTGGTTCTAACACTAATTAGTGATTGGGTAAATTTGACAAATCCTGAGATACTCCATCTAGAGGGATGGGATTTACTTTTTGGGTGGCATGCCTATTTAATATTTAATAAAAAAAATGGATTGGGTCTTTAAAGCTCATATTCTAAGAATTTCTTTACTTAGGACCTGGAGAAAATATTATAAAAGTGATTTTAAAGTACCATTATGGGCTATACCTTGGCATGCGATAGAAGGAATAAAAAGAGGTGCTAAAATGGATATGGTGATCTGCGCTAATTCTTGTAAGACATTTAAACACAGGAGTAAGAATTGGAATCAGATTTGTTTAAAGCTAGAAATGTGCAACAATTGCTACTATTATTGTAAGTATTAACATAAACATTATTGCTGTGGTAGGACTCACTCCATAAAGCAAAATAAATAAGTCCCTAAACCAGAATATCATTTACATGCTATTTTAATGAAAAATAATATGATAACTCCTTAACATATTTAATATATTTCTCCTGCGATCATATTTAGAAGTACCATTTGGAGACAAATGGGATTTTGAAGTTCGTTTGTTATAGAGTCATAGAACTGAAGAATTAAAAGAAACCTTAACAAGTCTAGTCTAACCACCTGTGATGTTCAGGAAAGCCAATTAACAATCTATGAGAAGTCGCTGTTTTCCTTCTTAAACTGCTCCAAGGACAGAAAACCCATAACATATATAATACACCATTTCATTTCATTGTTGTACAAATAGAATGAAGGTTTTTCATTCTATTTCAGTGAAATCTAAGTAGCTACAATTGATATCCTAGTCCAGTGGTTCTCAACCTTTTTAATGCCGCGACCCCCAACTGGTCGTAAGTCGAGGACTAAACCGGTCGTAAGTCGAGGACTAAACCGGTCGTAAGTCGAGGACTAAACCGGTTGTAAGTCGAGGACTAAACCGGTCGTAAGTCGAGGACTACCCAACCGGTCGTAAGTCGAGGACTTTCCCTGCCTGGGAGCGCCACGCATGCGTGGTGCTGCCCCCTGCGCCAGCCGAGGCGTAGCTGGCAAGCGGCAGAGACGGAGCTGGCCGATCACCGGCTGGGCCACCAGCTGGCCCAGCCCAAGGGAGGTAAGGCACCCGCCGGAAAAGGGGAAAAAAATGGCGGACAGCTTTGCTTGGTGACCCCTATGAAATGGTTGATCGACCCCAAATGGGGTCGCGACCCATAGGTTGAGAACCGCTGTCCTAATCTCTGTGGTCTATTTTCTATTTCAGAATTTGTAACTGCAGAGGTGAGGCACATTTAAGCATGCTCTCACCTGGGCATTTAAACTACAAACTGCCCTCCTTTGTGCTATCTTTCTTTCGGAAAAATCTATTGGAATGAGTTTGCATGTTAAGTTTCATCCGGTCCTACATTTTTTAAAAAACAAAGGAAAAAAAATCTCCATGTAAAAAAACTAACTTCACAAAAATATAATGAATGGGAACATTTTCCCTTGAAGTATAAGCTTTTTACTTTGTAAGGGAGTTATTTTAAATGAGCTGTTCCCTTACCTTAAAACTGATGTGGGGCATTTCTTTGTATTACTTTGCATCATTTTTGCAAACTGGGAAGATCAAGCAAGATTTACACTCTTAACCATCACAATAGCTATGTGGGATATTCAGTCTTTCATCAATGGATTCCTGTCCTGCCCTTCATCCATGCTCTTTGGCAAAGATACACGTACAAGAATATGATTTCACCACATTGCAGTCTCAGTATGCTGGAATCTCTGCAGACTTTTTCTATTTTTATTTTATTTGTTTGTGTCTCGCCATTATTATTTTTACAAGCAACTTAAGGTTCTTCCTTCTATTTTTCACACAACAACCCTATGAGAATGAGTTGGGTTGAGAGAGAGTGACTGGCTCACCCAGCCAGTCATGTCTAAGGCGGGACTTGAATTCACAGTTTCCTGATGATTGGCCCAAAGTCACCCAGCTGGCTTTCATGGCTAAGGCAGGACTTGAACCCACAATCTCCCACTTTGTAGCCTGGTGTCTTAACCACTAGATCAAACTGTCTTCTCTTTTTGGGAAAGGGATAATGTCCAGCCTTAAGTTATAAAATCCCAATCCACACATAGGAATTAGAATATAAAATCATAGAGTTGGAAGGGACCTTAGAGGTCTTCTAGTCCAGCCCCCTGCTCAAGCAGGAAACCGCATACCATTCTAAGCAGCAACTGGCAGCTTTGGAAATAAAGCCGAAATTTAAAATCTCTTAATGGTGGAGTGGGGGGGGGGTGAGAAGAGGACAAGGTAGGAAAGGAAGGATATCGTTACAATGGGTAAAGGGAAAAAAAAAAATCCCAAAACATAAAGAAATAGTTGTGTTGTTGTTGTTTTTACTTCCACTGACATAAGTGTGTATTGAAGTCTCTGCCTGAAATACAGTAGTAAGATCCACCTCATTTTTACAGTTAAAAGAAATTAGGGAAGATATTTTATGTCTTTATATTTTTCTTTATCTGATCAACTGGGCAGATAAATACAATATTTGGCTGGCTTTATATATGTCTCTCGGTCTGGACTGTAAACAGAAAATGCTTTGTGACACCTCTTGATAACATTGGGATGACTTTAGAAGGAGAGCAATGTGAAAGTGCCAAATATAATTATAAAACAAAACAGCTTAGGACGGCCTGTTTTGCTGGTTCAATCTAGAGAACCACAAGGACAAAATCTCTTTGCAAAAACCTGGCCATCACGAAGGTTTTCTATAATTGGAACTGATATTAACTCAATAATCTGTGAGCTTCAGAGAACAATTGATTCAATTCAAATTATATTAGCTTGGAACCCATGCCACATCCAATTATTATCCCTTGTTCTTTGTTTGATATTAGCTCTGGCACGCTCTGACTCTAGTGCCAAAAGTGTTCCAGAAAGTCTCAACAAAGAGAATTGTTCGCTGTCTATCACTAAAAAGAGACAATCACAAGGGATTACATTCAATTGTAGCCAATATTTACAAGTCTGTGATTCAGATCCTTGTCTCTGCTTTTCAAAGTCCAGCCTTGAGTTATAAAATCTCATTGGAACTCGCCATGATAAAAATACTCAATTTTCTGGTTATATCCCTTAATTTTTTTAATTCTTATTTATTTATATCTCATATTTATTATTTTTACAAACAACTCAAGGTGGCAAATATATCCCACCTTTTGCCTCCTATTTTCCCCACAACAACAACAAGAACAATCGTGTGAGGTGGGTTGGGCTGAAAGAGAATGACAGGCCCAAATGGCTAAGGTAGGACTTGAACTCGTGGTCTCTTGCTTTCTAAGCTGGTGCCTTCACTACTAGACTAAACTGGCTCTCTAGATGGATCATGAATTTTGATGGAGGTCCTTTATCTTAATGGATTGTTATGGTGAACGTTAAGGATGAAGCAGGTCTATTAAGTATATTGCATTTATTTTTGACTTAATTAGTGGGTCTTCATTTCCTAGGTTAAGGTTACCCAGACCCCAGAAGGGCAGACCCAGCCTCAGTTGATTAAAACGTTGCAGAAAGGAGATTCTTTTGGAGAAAAGGCCTTGATCAGGTTGGTTTAAAATTATTTCCCATTTGGAAGCACTTCCATTGTTATTTAAACATTTGAGGAGTTCAAAATGGAACAGGGACTGAGAAGACAAGGTAAGGACATCATTTTATTTTTAAGAAATTAACTCAGGGGGGTCCAACATTGGCAACTTTAAGATCTGTGGACTTCAACTCCCATAATTCCTCAGCCAGCATGTCCTAAAGCAGTGGTTCTCAACCTTTTTAATGCTGCGACCCCCAACCGGTCATAAGTCGAGGACTACTCAACCGGTCGTAAGTCGAGGACTACTCAACTGGTACAGCACCATTTGCAGAATGGGACTTTTGGCGGGCTCAGCAGGGCAGAGACAGCCTGGACAATTCCTATTGGCTTTTGAAAGCCAATAGAATTAGACTCTATTCAAGAGAGTCTATTCTATTGGCTTTCAAAAGCCAATAGAATAAAAGGGAGTAGCACAGCTAAGGAAAAGGGGAAAAAAATGGCGGACTGCATTGTTTGGTGACCCCCGTGAAATGGTCATTCGACCCCAAATGGGGTTCCGACCCACAGGTTGAGAACCACTGTCTTAAAGTTGCCAAGGTGTAATATTCCTGAATTAACTAGTATTATAATTCATAGATGACTGAAAGAGTGGGCATCCATGCTACCATTTTTTCCCCTCACTGCCTCTTCCATCCAAACTGTCTTTCTTGGTTAATGTATGCTGATTTTTTTTTTTGCATCTGGTAGTTGCAGCTGATGGATTTTTCGAAGCAGATGCTCTGATGCATGGGGCACAAGCCAATTCTGGAACTACTCATGAAACCATAGTCCACAGTGTGCATTCGTGCAGCAGTGACATGAATTTATGAGATTTTTGTTGACTTATTTGTTAGTTACTTGATTTTTATCCTGCCTTTATTCATTTAGTATATAAGCAACTCAAGATGGCAAACGTACATAATATATTCCTTCCTTCGGTTTTCCCCACCACAACCCTGTGAGATGAGTTGGCTGAGAGGTAGTGACTGCCCCATATTCATCCAGGTGGCTTCCATGCCTAAGGCAGGACTAGAACTCACCCTCTCCTGGTGATTGGCCCAAAGTCACTCAGCTGGCTTTCGTATCTAAGGCAGGACTAGAACTCACCATCTCCTGATGATTGGCACAGGGTCATTCAGCTGGCTTTCATGCCTTAGGTGGAACTAGATCTCACAGTCTCCTAGCGATTGGCCCAAAGTCAATCAGCTGGCTTTCATATCTAAAACAGAACTAGAATTCATAGTTTCATGGTGATTGGCTTAAAATTACTCATCTGCCTTTCATACCTAAAACAGAACTAGAACTTAACCGTCTTCTAGTTTCTAGGTCAGCCATCTAATCACTGGGTTTTTTTTAAAAAAATTAAAAATTAAAAAACATTGCTCTACTAAACCAACAAAAAATCTCACTAAATCCATTTCACTGCTGCACGAATGCACACAGGACAATGCTGGGTCAATATATATATATATATATATATATATATATATATATATATATATATATATATATATATATATATTTGAGCAACACCGCTTTAAAAGAAGAATCAACAATGAAGTGAAATAAATAAAGCATCGCGAGCTTGTGTTAAAATTATCCATATCAAGAACATTTAGCAGCACAGATGTAGAGAACCTGCAGAGATGATGAATTGGTTGTTAGGTATCAACAGTGCTTCGAACAGAGGAAACAGCAGGGATAGTAATAATGGGAGGATTTAAACTTTGAAGTGGCACTTGGACAAATAGATAATGCTTACTTAGGTAACAAATTAGCTTGCATGTTTCATCCACTTTTGTTCTGTAAAATCATTGTTAAAGAGATTTTTGCAAAGATACCATAGAAAATCAAGGTTACACACAGGCATTTGGACAATCACCTGCCTGGACAATCACCTGTCTTGAGAGAGTGAGAGACTGGACAATCACCTGTCTTAGATGGTATAGGTTCTCCTGCTTGAGCAGGGGGCTGGACTAGAAGACCTCCAAGGTCCCTTCCAGCTCTGTTCTATTCTATTCTATTCTATTCTATTCTATTCTATTCTATTCTATTCCATTCCATTCCATTCCATTCTTATTTCTATTCTATTCTATTCTTATTTCTGTTCTATTCTATTCTATTCTTATTTCTATTCTATTCTTATTTCTATTCTATTCTATTCTATTCTATTCTATTCTATTCTATTCTAATTTCTATTCTAATTTCTATTCTAATTTTATTTCTATTCTATTCTAGTATCTAGTTGCTTGTCATAAATCAATGTGGTTCTCTCTAGATATAGTTTTAGAAATAAGTTTTATGCTCAAGGGAAACAGACTGTTAATAAGTGTATACAGATAATCCTCAGCTTACAACAGTTTTGTGACTCCTACAAAGGTACAACAGCACTGAAAAATGTAATTTCTGACCATCTTTCACACCGTTGCAGCACCCCCATGATCGTGTGTTCAAAATTTGGACACTTAGCAACTGTGCAACATGATGGTTGCTGTGTCCTGGGGTCACGCGATTCCCTTTTGCGACCTTCTGATAAGCAAAGTCAATGGGGAAGCCAGATTCACTTAACAACTATGTTGCTAACTTAGCAACTGCAGTGATTCACTTAACAACTGTGGCAAGAAAAGGTTGTAAAATGGAGTAAAATTCACTTAACAACTGCCTTGCTCACCAATGGAAATTTTGGGTCGTAAGTCCAGGACTATCTGTACAGGATTATAGCGTAAATCTGACCTGTTACTTACTCTTCTTATCTACCTAAACTCAATTGATATATTTCTGTTTGCAGTGATGATGTTAGGTCTGCTAATATAATTGCAGACGAAAACGATGTGGAGTGCCTCGTTATTGACAGAGAGTAAGTATTCTCTTCCTGCACCGCTGTCTTCTTTCCAGCCGCTTTTCCTGTTCACCGATAAGTTACATCAAAGATTTTCTATGTTCTCTTCACTTCTTTTTTCCTTGCCCAAATTTGGAGGAGGTGGACATTAAGGGGAAGGTAGCAAAACAGGCAGACTGACCATTGAAGAGCAGAATATTTGTAGCTCAGGGTCTTTGGTGCTCTCTGAACTCAGTTGTTTTCTTGCAGACCTTTCATTACCAAGCTAGGTAACATCATCAGTGCTAGTCTTAGATTACCTTGTTTGGGTAATGAAACATCTGTAAAAAAAAAACAATGAAGCTCAGAAAGCACCAAGGTCCTCTCAATAGATCAGGAATCACCACTCTCTTCTGCATTGTAACATGTTGTTGCAAGATCCTGAAGTTATTTGTGTTTGCAATACTTGGTTTTGTCCTGAAGCTGCAACAAGCATGTGGTGTGCCTTGTGCAATTATGTTACCAAGATGTGCATGTGTTAGGAAGTGGGGAAATTATATAATTAAGCTCATGATTGATAGTGCTATCTCTTCTAACCTCAGAGATGTAACTATGGGGATACTTCATAGGGTTTTGTTTTTTTTTAAAAAAAAACTAAGAACATCCAGTTCCCATTTGGATCATCAAAGATTTTAATTACTGCAGAGTGGTATGCTCTGGCTGCTTAATTAGTAAATAAGGAAAATCTCCATAGTAGTGAACATTGAAATATTTCAAGTAAAGCAAAAAGCAGTTTGGTGTAGTGGTTAAGGTACCAAGATAAAATCAGGAGACTGTGAGTTCTAGTCCTGCCTTAAGCATAAAACCAGCTGTGTGGCTTCAGGTCAGTCAACTTTTTTTTAGGACTAGAAAGAATGCAATGGCAAATCGCTTTTGGAAACCTTGCTAAGAAAACTGCTGGAGTCAAACAGACTTGAAGGCACAAAAAGAGGTGGGGGAGAGGAAAAACAGGCCTAGTTATTTTGGACAACGGTGGCTACATTAGGACTGGAATGGTTCATGTTCACTGCATTGCTGTTCAACTAGTTGATTGTCTTTATCATCTCTAACTTTTATATTTTAATTGGTTTTTTAAAATAGTGACTCCTGCATACAGTGAGACCATGAACAGCAGTTAGCTGCTTTATATATTTATAAAGGCAGGAATTTGTTCCTTCAGATATATGGACTAGACTGACATAACAGGAAATGTATAAATATCTAAGTTATACTCCAGTGAGCCTCCAGCTATATTAACAGGATGAAAATGAAAAACAGTGTGAATTCAAAATTGAATTGCAACCCTAGCATTGTTTCAAACAGTATTTTAAAACATTACTTAAGCATTTCAGCAGATGTTACCTCTGTTGTGAGCTGAATGGTATTTTGGTACTTAATTGGACAGTATGGGTTTTACCATGTTTGCAGTTTCTGTTCTTTGATCTTTGTTAGCATGTATATAGTTTTAAATTTAATGTTTCTGTTGATTGTATATCTTCCTGGGAATCTTGTATTTCAAGCGCAACTGCGAAAAAAATATCTAAAATAAGTTTAATGTTGCCCATTTAATCTTTCTTAGGCTCCTTTGATTTTTTCAGTCTAGGCAAAGAGAAAATAATGACTTTTATCAGGTTCCTGGTAGGCTGCATTACACAGCTGATGATCTGGGTTCAATTTTTTAGATCCCAAGTTGGTTGGGTCTGTAATAGTGTGATAATTGCCTGCCATCTTTCTCACCTTTGAAAGGTGCAGTTGGCTTGTTCAGAGAATTAGTTTGTGGCAGCAACGTGCAGTGACTGCTGTGGGTGATTTTCTTTTTAATCATGGCATCAAAAAGGCCAGACCTCTGGATATTTTTTCTAATTATCCATTGCACTATACAGTAGCAGCTGCTGATGCTTCTGTCACACTATGATCATTGTTATAATTGTGGCTGGGTTCACAAATCATGCTAAGTGTGTTTGGCTTTGACTGACTGTGTTGCTGAACAGCTGTTGGGCCTTAGTCAAGTAAGTATAGTTAAGCAAACCATGTCTTGGTAATGCATTGACCCAGCTTTACCCTCAGTGAGATGTGTTGGACTACCCTTTGCCTTACTGATTGGGAATTCTGGATATTGCAGTCCATCATATTGGTGGACTATCAAATTGCGGAAGTCCTTAGGTCATATGTTATAAAAAGGGGACAGGCTGGCCAGGAACCAATGTACAATTTTGTGGTGGCCATCTATGCTGAAATGCATTCAGTCTTAGCTCCACAAGGCCGTGTGGAAACAGCGAAGGACCAGCCCCTGCCACGTCGGCCCCACCCTTGGGTGCATGCTGGGGAAGTGTCACCTTTTGTGAGGAATAAAGAAATGCACCATCATCTGGAAGTGGCCATAAAATGGCCCTTGCCTACTTCACATATCCGGCTTGATAGGCTCTGCCCTGGTCCCACCCCCTTCTGCCAGAGACTCTCAGATCTGTCCCACTCCTGCCCAGGCCCCCACAGGTACCCTTGACGCGAATGATGTAGAGCTGGCCACATCCACCCAGTAGGCCACACCCATTCCATCCATGCCCAGTAGGCTGCACCTACCCTGGCCACACACCCCACCCTCCGAGGGCAACCGCAATGCTGATGCGGCCTTCAATCAAATTGAATTTGACACCCCTGGTTTATGAGTTTTAAAATACTTATATCTCCATAGAAGACTGCTGCAATATTTTTTTTTCTAGCAAAAGGATATATTTTGACTCACTTCTGTTGTATTTGCAGAACTTTTAATCAAACGGTTGGAACGTTTGAAGAACTGCAAGCATACCTTGTGGGTTACGTAGCAACTTTGGCTCGAGATGATGAAAAAAGACACGCTCAGTAAGTCTTCCAACTGGTTTCTGAAACTGTAAGGAAGGTAACCTCACCAATGTTGTGTCAAATTAGATAGAATTGGAACAGCGGGGTTATAAAAAATACAGAAAAAATTCTACCACCTCTGGTGTTGCTAGTTTGGTAAACATTTTGGTCAACACTTTGAAGCTTAAGAAAATCACCATGCATGGACTTTTTATTTGAGCAAACAGTTCAGAATAATAAAAACACAAAGTTTTGCTTTAATGAATATAAGATGCTGCCCTTTGCTTCCAAATGTTTTCTGCTAGAACTGTTCAGCAACGACACATTCTAAACCAGCTGTTATTTCATATCTGGGCCCATGTTTCCATAATGCACGTAAGTGACAATTACTTGGCAATTTTTCAAGCTTCCAACAAAGTTTCCATAATTCAGTGTCCTCGTTTCACCTTCTGCTCTTTACATAAAAATGTTAAATTTGGATTCCCTGTACAAGATGACAGGAAACTCTTAAGCATGCAGCTCTGAAATGTTCTCTGAGGTCTTGTTTGCAATCTTAAGTTCAACATCCTGCCAGTCATGTCCCCTAAAACCAAGCTCACCCGAGACCAGTAATTTGTGCCGTCCCCCAGTGCTGAGCCAGTTTAAATCAATATAAAGGACTTGTTGTAAGCTTAAGCTCTCTACAAGAATGTGAATTACTAATAGTCAAAGCAAATTAGCTTAGCTTATTAGCTTAGCGGTAGCTAAGAGTCAACGGAATTCATGGTGGGCTGGACTTAGATCTCCTGTGGGCACGAAGGGACTTGAGACTAATGACGTGCTTGACCCCTTCCTCTGGCTCAGCCTGGTTATCTCCTACATAGGCTTCTATAATTTGGTTTTAATTCTAGTAAGTGATCCACAATTTCTTTTTAAAACTCCCATATTATGGGTTACTTTATAAATACAGTACTTTTATTCTTAGCAAGGACAGAACATATATATTCCCAGAAAAGCTAATCAAGATCACTTAGTGCTGTGTGCCAGCACCATCACTATTGGAGATGCTGCTTGAAGCCATGGAGATGCAGTCAATTATAGATGGTGGGAGGGTCCTTAGTCTCAGTCCTCAACATGATTCTCACCTTTGACCATGCTGGGTAACAATTCTGGGAATTATACTTCCCATTAAAGGAGGGTTGAAATGAAAGGTCCTTGATGCTGTCTGAGTTTGCTTGTTTTGTTGCAGACGTTTCATTACTTGTCACAGATTTGGAGGGCAAAAGCTTGAAAGAGCCAAGTGCCCCATCAGTCTTGTTCTTGTTTCAGTCCTTCTGATTTTAAGAGATTACAGGTAGTCCCCAGCTTACAACCATTCATTTAGTGACTATTTGAAGTCATAGTGGCACTGGAAAATGTGACTTATGACCATTTTTCACACTTACGATCATTGCAGCATCCCCATGGTCACATGATCTCAAATTTTGGATGCTTGGCAACTGACTCATATCTATGATGGTTGCAGTGTCCCGGGGTTATGTGATCACCTTTTGTGAGCTTCCAATGAGCAAATTCAATGGAGAAGCCTTATTCACTTAACAGCCATGAGACTAGACTAGACTAGACTAGACTAGACTAGACTAGACTAGAATAGAATAGAATAGAACAGAACAGAACAGAACAGAATAGAATTATGATATAGACTAGACTAGACTAGACTAGACTAGACTAGACTAGAATAGAATAGAATAGAATATGATATAGACTAGACTAAAGTAGACTAGACTAGACTAGACTAGAATATGATATAGACTAGACTATAGACTAGACTAGAATAAACTAGAATAGAATGGAGAATAGTCTGGACTGGACTGGACTAGACTAGACTAGACTAGACTAGACTAGACTAGGAATAGAATAGAATAGAATTGAATAGAATAGAATTAGAATAGAGCTGGAAGGGATCTTGGAGGTCTTCTAGTCCAGCCCCCTGCTCAAGCAGGAGAACCTATACCATCTCAGACAAGTGGCTATCTAGTCTCTTCTTTAAAATCTCCAGTGATGAAGTACCTACAACTTCTGGAGGCAAAGCTGTTCCACTGGTTGATTGTCCTCACTGTCAGGAAGTTTCTCCTTAATTCCAGGTTGCTTCTCTCCTTGACCAGTTTCCAACCATTGTTTCTTGTCCTGCCCTTTGGTCCTTTGGAGAATAATTTGATGCCCTCTTCTTGGTGGCAGCCTCTCAAATACTGAAATACTGCTATCATGTCACCCACTACCTTAACAAGAAAGGCAAGAAAGGCTGCAAAATGGGACAGAATCACTTAACAAATGTTTCGCTTAGCAACATAAATTTTGGGCTCAATTGTGGTTGTACGTCAAGGGCTACTTGTGTTCTACTGGTCTGAAATAAGAACAGGAATGAGTGCTCAGAAAAAAAGAAATAAAAATTGATTTTCCAATGCTTTTATTCTTTGCTTCATTACTGTAAACTCACAAAAGGCCCTGAGAGCTATAATCAAGTTGGATGACTGTTTATTGAACAAATTACTATTTCAGGCTATGGCTACACACACAGAGAGAGAACACAATTGATATTTAACGTCTCATGAAATGTTGCTATTTTATCAGGACTTTAAATAGCACTGTGGGCGATGCCTGGGTTTTGCATATTTTTTGACATCTGAGGGGGGGAAGGAGACCTTGTAAATTTCTTTGGGCTGCTTCACTTTTGCTTCCCTCAGATTTTCCTTCAATGGAAGATTTAAAACTCCCTTTTCCCAATTAGTTCTCCTAAGGTTTTCTCATTATTTTTCCCAGGGCTAGTACAGGTAGTCCTAGACCAGGGATAGGCAACCTTGGCTCTTTTATGACTCGTGGACTTCAACTCCCAGAATTCCTGAGCTAGCAATGCTCAGCTTGGAAACTCTCCCTTTCCCCTCAGCATGGCTGGCTCAGGAATTCTGGGAGTTGAAGTCCAAGAGTCATAAAAGAGCCAAGGTTGCCTACCTCTGGCCTAGGCCGGGGCCGCTTTATGAGTCATGGACTTCAACTCCCAGAATTCCTGAGCCAGCCATGCTGAGGGGAAAGGAAGAGGTTTCCAAGCTGAGCCATGCTGGCTCAGGAATTCTGGGAGTTGAAGTCCACGAGTCATAAAAGAGCCAAGGTTGCCTACCCCTGTTCTAGACTTACAGCAGTTGATTTAGTGACTGTTCAAAGTTACAACAGCACTGGGAAAAAAGGACTTATGACAAATATGAGCCATAAATATGGTTCATATTTATGACGGTTGCAGTGTCACATGGTCATGTGATCCCCTTTTGCGACTTTCTGACAAGCAAAGTCAAAGGGGGAGGCCAAATTCACTTAACAATTGTGTTACTAACTTAACAGCTGCAGTGATTTACTTAGCAATTGTGGCAAGAAAGGTGGTAAAATGGGGGGAAACTCACTTAACCAATGCTTCGCTTAGCAGCATCAATTTTGGGCTCAGTTATGGTCTTAAGTCGAGGACTACCTGAATTTAATTCCCTATTGTACAGCAAACTTGCATCCTTATGATAAGTATCTTCGAATTCAAGGACCTGAAAACATACCCGGCAAACTAAGCGTCCTGATTCCGTTGAGTAAGATCAGTCATGAAGCTGCAGTTTTTGTGACAGAAACACAAATCAACTGACAAAAGACACTCTCCTTCCCTTTGTTGTGATATCATAAAAAGACAGCTTTGCCCCAAGCACTGTCCTCTTGGTGTGACAGCTGCAGGATGCCTTGAATAATCAAATCCCTACAACCTGCCTCCAGAAGCTGTGAATGCTCCAACACTGGACGTTTTTAAGAAGAGACTGGACAGCCCTTTGTCTGAAATGGTATAGGATTTCCTGCCTGATCAGGGGGTTGGACTAGATGACCTCCAAGGTCCCTTCCAACTTTATTATTATTACTATTATTACACACATGTAGAAAGAGAGCGGACTCCCTCCTTCTCCCATTCCTTCCATCAGATGGTGTCCCTGCAGTCAACAAATGCCATTCAGTTTTCCATTGAAACGAATCAGGATTTCTTTCCAAATGGTGAGAAACATGGATCGTTCCTTCCACGTCTGCTTCTGGTTCCTGGTCTCCTTAGTCTCCTTTGAAAAAGTTCCAGTGGCTTTCCAGACTGTGACTGAATCCTCTCCTTCCTCCCAGCTACCTTGAGTGCCTATGTATGCACAGAAAGGCAGGCTGTAAGTCAAAATAATAAATCCATCATGAACGTCATGAGATCTAAGATTTACCACCGTTGCTGCTAAATGTCACTGTTCCGACAGATGAAACCGTTTAAAAGAACTTCAAGGCAAGGATTTCTTCCTTAAAAAGCATTTTATTTTGGAAACAAGATATTGGCACATACAAAGGTGAAACCAAGACTAAAATTCCCTCCCTCTGGTTACAAAGTTACAAGTTTCAATTCCCACCCCAATTTGCTGTCATCAATCACATTCACCAATTGTTGCAAAATGTGGGCTCTCCTCCCAGCTTTCCAACTCACCAAAATGTTATCAGCAATGACCTTGGTTCTCACACATATGAATTGTTTTAGCTAACTGAGAACTACACACACACACACACCTTCCTTCATCTAAACTAATATGTGGCAACGAAGACAAAGTGAAAATGGCTTCAGTTCGGTTTGTCACAGCGTTGACACTAGAACTCAAAAAGCAACGATACTGGAGCTAAAGCCCAGTACTGATTCTATAGCAGTGAACCTATGGCATGGGTGCCAGAGGCGGCACTCGGAGCCCTCTCTGTGGGCACACTGCCATTGCCCCAGCCTTGCTTCCCCCCTGCGATGCCCTCATCACCAGCAGCCCCCCTGGAGGAGAGTCGCCCCTGAGCGTGGCCCACGCACAGCAGCGCAGCCAAGGACATAGCAATCAGGCAGCGTAGACAAGACTGCCCTCACACCCCATCACGCACAGTTGATGCTGCGGGGCGTGGGCAGAGGGCGTGGCTGTCATGGCGCTGCTGGGCAATCTGTAACAGGCCCTGGAGGTGGTGAGTGGCCCTGTGGGCAGGCAGGGTGGGGGCGGAGCGGGGGCGGGGCAGGGGGTGGACCAGGGTGGGACCAGGTTTTGGGCACTCGGTCTCTAAAAGGTTCGCCATCACTGTTCTATAGTATTTCTGAAGAAGGTCTCCACTTTTAAGTTCTACTTAATCCTCCTGTCCACTAGACACGGCTGCAACTGCAGAGAAGAGCAACAAAGATGATTAGGGGACTGGAAGCTAAAACATATAGATCACATGAAGTGTTAATACCACTTTACAATGCCTTGGTAAGAGCACACTCGAAATACTGCACACAGTTTGGTCACCACGATGTAAAAAAAATGTTGAGACTCTAGAAAGAGTGCAGGCTGAAGCAGGCCGAACATCCTGATAGGTCTTTTTTTTTTTTTAATGCAGAGTCTCTTCCATGGAGCGACTCCCTCGTGATCTCTCTCTGGAGATGATTCAATTGACAGAAAAAGTTACCCAATTTCCTGCCTCCTGCCCTTTTCAGCACCTGGAAATTGTTGCGACTTTGGGTGTTGGTGGATTTGGAAGAGTTGAGCTTGTAAGAATTTAGCGTCTTGCTTGGGATTGGGAGAGTGATTGATACAGTTTTGTGCTTCGGTTGTCTAAGACTTGATTTCTTATGATGTTTCATTTTTTCTTTGTCCCGTCTCACAAAATTCTCCAAAGCTTTAACGAGCATCTTTTGTAAATTTAATATAAGAAAAGTACCCAGGTCACTCTTTCGGTTTGTTATTTGTATCTCTTTTAATTGTTAAAATTATCTATCTTGTCTGTCTATCTGTCTCTCTGTATTTATCTATCCTTCCATCGATCCATCCATCCATCCAACCCAACCCAACCCAACTCAACCCAGTCCAATCCAATCTATCTGTCTGTCTGTCTGTCTGTCTGTCTGTCTATCTATCCATCCACCCACCCGCCCACTCCACTCCACTCCATTCACTCCACTCCAATTCAATTCAATCCATCCATCCATCCATCCATCTATCCATTCACCCACCCACCCACTCCAATCCATCCATCCATCCATCCATCCATCCATCCATCCATCCATCCATCCACCATCTAGCTAGCTATCCATCCATCCATCCATCCATCCATCATCATCTATCTCTCATCTTTATTATTTTCACAAACTCAAGCCCGTGTTGGTTTCTTTGATATATCCAGTTTAGCACCTTACTATATTATTCTTGCAGCCTGTCATTTTTAAATCAATTTTCAGATCAGTCTTGCTCCCCCATCCCAGAAAAGGACTACTAAAAGATCATCTATCTATGCTCTAAAAAAATTTATACATATGCTGAAGTCCACTGTTTTTGGTGAAAACAATAGTTTGGGCATATGTTAATGTTTTGCTGAATGGCAGATCCAATATGCTTGACAAAATTGTCTTATTGGAAGTGATCCTCTGCTTACATTCTTGGTTACAGTATTAAGGTTTAAAACACATTGCAAGAACTTGTTCCTAAACCTGGGAGTCCTTGAGATGTATTGACTTCATCTCCAAGAATTAATTCTCCAAAAAGCAGGATCACTGCTGAGAATTCTGAGAATTGAAGTCCAAATATCTAGAACAGGGATCTCCAAACCTGGCAACTTTATGACTCAACTCTCAGAATTCTTCATGCTTGCTGGAGAATTCTGGGAGTTGAAGTCCACAAGTCATAAAATTGTCAAGTTTGGACACCCTTGATCTAGAACAGAGGTGTCAAACTGCCGGCCCGCAGGTCAGATGCGTTGCACCGAAACTGCGCCCACCCCACTGCCGGCAATGGGGAAAAAGTTGCGAAATGTCACGACACATCAGGTGACGTTGCGAGTTTAACACCACTGATCTAGAAGGTGCCAATTGAGGGAGGGAGCATTACATCTTGGATTTACAATTCTATTCTGCTGTTATTCTGAAGAATTTGAAAAAGGGAGAGAACTCATGTTTATGATTCTGACATTATATTTTCTTTTCCGGTGACTTCAGGTGAAAGTTAAGAACGAGAACATAGCATTTGCCATGAAATGCATTAAGAAGAAGCACATAGTGGATACCAAGCAACAGGAACATATTCATTCCGAAAAGAAAATTCTAGAAGAGGCCTGTTCGCCATTCATTGTGAAGTAATTTTTAAAAATTATTTATATAAACCTATTTCTTAAAAAAAAAGATCTCTTTCAAAAAATGACACGGTCTGGATAGGGCAGGGGTAGGCAACCTTGACTCTTTTATGATTCGTGGACTTCAACTCCCAGAATTCCTGAGCCAACATGGCTCAGCTTGGAAACTTCTCCCTTTCCCCTCAGCATGGCTGGCTCAGGAATTCTGGGAGTTGAAGTCCATGAGTCATAAAAGAGCCAAGGTTGTCTACCCCTGGAATAGGGCATCACTGTTTCTTCACACTGTTCCAGAAACCATGAATCTCATTGTCACTCTCCATTCCTCAACACGTTCTTATCTCCTGCAATTCCCTTTTTGGGCTGTTTTTCAATAGTTGGAACTTGTGACAATATGTTTTTACTTAACGAGAAAAGTTGAGGATACTGGATTCGTTGTCCTTGCATCACTCGTCGTATATAGTGAGTAGTTGCATTTAGTGGAGAACTTTCCATGGAACTCTTATATACAGGTAGTCCTCGACTTGCAACAGTTCATTTAGTGAGCATTCAAAGTTACAACGGCACTGAAAAAAGTGACTTACGACCATTTTTCATACAATTATTGCAACGTTCCCCCTGGCCACATGATCAGAATTCAAGATGCTTGGTAACCCCTTCATATATATGACGGTTGCTGTGTCCTGGGGTTATTTGCCACCTTCTGACAAGCAAAGTCAATGGGGAAGCCAGATTCACTTAACAATTGTGTTACTAACTTAACAATTGCAGCAATTCACTTAACAACAGAAAAGTCATAAAATGGGGCAAAACTCACTTAACAAATGTTTCACTTAGCAAGATAAATTTGGGGCTCAGTTGTGGTTGTAAGTAGAGGACTACCTGTACTTTAGATCAGAGATCACCAACCTTTTCAAGCTGGTGGCTTAGAGGGAAAGAAAGCAGCTGCACACACCGCACACATGCAAACAGGGCCACACATGAACAGGGCCGCGCGCACCCGTACGGGGCTAACGCCCCCATATGTGCACAGGCGCTAGCCCCACTGCTACTAGCCCCATGCGCATGCGCAAACAGGCCACACAGCCCACACGGTGCTAGTGGCCTTGTTTGCACAGGCTCTAACCTCACCGCGGCTAGTCCCGTGCGCATGCGCAAACAGGTCTGCGGGCATTAGCGTGAGTGGGGGAGAGTGCACGCATACGTGCGCACACTGGCCAGCCTGCCCTGTGGCCCGGTGGCCAGTAGGCCACGGCCCAGCAGTGGGCCACGGACCATAGGTTGGGACCCCTGTTTTATATTTCTGATTTTTCTAGGTTTTCAAACATACAGAGAACCTTTACAAGTAGAAGACTATTTCACTCAATTGCCCACTATTATCCTCCACTGTCGATGGGTGATTTGAACCTGAATGATGTTTATAACAAACTTTATGAAAAGGACACATTTTCTCCTCTACAAACAAACTTCTTCCACCAAGTTTTTAATTCTAGGTGATTGTTCATGAATGGCCCCCTTGGTTGGGTTGATCAATATTCTTTGTGTTCTCATTTTACCCAGGGACTCCAGATTTTGGAGTTGTTCCAACATGCACGCAGTGCTATAGAAATGTGATTATTGTTATGTTAGATGCATTTTATCTTCAACTAGAACTATTTGCCTATTGTTTCTTTCTCTCTCTTTTTAACGTGCTTCAGGTTGTATCGTACCTTCAAAGACAACAAATATGTTTATATGCTCTTAGAAGCCTGTCTTGGAGGTGAACTATGGAGCATCCTCAGGGACAGGTATTATTATTATTATTATTATTATTATTATTATTATTATTATTTACCCATTTTTATATTTTTATTTAAAGAATGGCATTATACAGGTAGTCCTCAACTTACGACCACAACTGAGCCCAAAATTTCTGTTGCTAAGCAAGACATTTATTTAGTGAATTTTGCCCCATTTTTACGATTTTTCTTGCCCTAGTTCTCAAATGAATCTCTGCAGTTGTTAAATTAAATACACAGTTGTTAAGTGAATCTGAGAGGGATCTCGGAGTCCTAGTGGACAATCACTTAAATATGAGCCAGCAATGTGCTGCAGCTGCCCAAAAGGCCAACATAGTGCTAGGCTGCATTAACAGAGGGATAGAATCAAGATCACGTGAAGTGTTAATACCACTTTACAATGCCTTGGTAAGGCCACACTTGGACTACTGCATCCAGTTTTGGTCACCACGATGTAAAAAAGATGAGACTTTAGAAAGAGTACAGAGAAGAGCAACAAAGATGATTAGGGGACTGCAGGCTAAAACATATAAGGAACGGTTGCTAGAATTGGGTATGTCTAGTTTAACAAAGAGAAGGATGAGGGAGGACATGATAGCAGTGTTCCAATATCTCAGAGGCTGTCACAAAAAAGAGGGAGTCAAGCTATTCTCCAAAGCGCCTGCAGGCAGGACAAGAAGCAACGGATGGAAACTAACCAAGGAGAGAAGCAACCTAGAACTAAAGAGAAACTTCCTGACAGTTAGAACAATTAACCAGTGGAACAACCTGCCTCCAGAAGTGGTGAATGCTCCAACACTGGAAGTTTTTAAGAAGAGACTAGACAGCCATTTGTCCGAAATAGTATACAGTTTTCTGCCTGAGCAGGGGGTTGGACTAGATGACCTCCAAGATCCCTTCCAACTTTATTATTATTATTAAGTTATAACAACATTGAACAGGCCTTATGACTGTTTTTCACACTTATGACCACTGCAGCATCCCTGTAGTCACATGATCAAAATTCAGAGGCTTGGCAACTGACGTGTATTTATAACAGTTGCAGTGTCCCAAATTCATGTCATCTCCTTTTTCGACTTAACAAGCAATGTCAATGGGGGAAGTCAGATTCACCAAACAACTGTGTTAATAATAAGTTCATCGATTCACTTAACAGCTGTGAAAGAAAGGTTGTAAAATGAGGCAAAACTCATTTAACTGTCATGCTTAGCAATATTTGGGCTCAATTGTGGTCGTAGGTCGAGGACTACCTGCAGTAGGAATCTGGATTGTTGATAAAATGAAGTGATGTTTGATCTCAGCCTGCAACTTGATCCTATGCAGATTTACCTGGTAGTAAATCTATTGACTTGAGTGGTGCTTACTCCCCAAAATTGAGTCTTGGATTTATTTTATTTCATACAACTTAAAATGGACTTTTCAGTCAAAGGCACGAAAGGAAATACCAGATTAATATTTAAAATATAACCAAGTATTTTGTTTTTATGAACGTATGAGAAAGAAAATGTGAATATACATTTGCAAAATATGGTGATCAATTTCTTTACCTAGCGTGGGAAATTCCAAATCTTGGATCCTAATATAATGTATCTTAGGAACTGAATTGTTAGAGACTGATCAAGAAGTGGAGTTTAGAGTTATGGGGTGACTGAAAATAACACTGTGAAGTGTTAATACCACTTTACCACGTGTGCCTGGCTGAGGAATTCTGGGAGTTGAAGTCCACAAGTCATAAAAGGGCCAAGTTTGAAGGCCCCTGGTATAGGACTTCTTGCCTCAGCATGAGGTCAAACTCCAACTCTGTTATTTTGTTGAAATAACAATTCAAGTCTGATTGCTGTAAAAAAAGGCCAATTCCATGCTTGAAATTATTAGGAAGGAAATTTAAAAAAAAAACCAACAATAATCCAATGCAGTAATATTCTTGTATAAATCTATGGTGAGACCACAATTGGTATCGATTAGCAGACCAGAAAAGCAATCATATAAAATTGAAAAAAGGGCAGCCAGAATTATTATGGATGAACAAAGACTAAGAGCGTCTGGGATTTTGGTAGGGCGTTAAGGAAGTTATGATACAGGTATTAAAAATTAGCCATGATATATAAAAATGTAGATCGCTTTTTCTCCCTGACAGTCTTCATTCATTAAAACTAAATTAAAACTAAATGTAGGGGAATGATCAAAGGAAGGGCATAATTAAATGACAGGATTTGGTTCCATCAGATGTTGTGATAGCCACTAATTTAAACAGGGCCTGAAGAAATTAATGGGAAAATGGATTATCGCTGTCTACTAGACTTGAATGCTTAATAGCAACTCAAGAATCACAGTGGCCCTTTGAATATCATCTGCTGAGGAGTCCCAGGGAAAAGGGAAGAGGTTAAATGTCTTTTAGATTAGTGTCATCAGCCTATGATGGAAATAAGTAACTTTCCAAGCAATATTTTCCCTCTTTCAACATCCTTCTCCTGGATGTTGTTGTTGTTAACTGCAAAGTCGTGTCCGACCCGTCACGACCCCATGGACAATGTTCCTCCAGGTCTTCCTGTCCTCTACCATCTTCTGGAGTCCATTTAAATTCACACCTACTGCTTCAGTGACTCCATCCAGCCACCTCATTCTCTGTCGTCCCCTTCTTCTATTGCCCTCAATCTTTCCCAGTATCAGGCTCTTCTCCAGTGAGTCCTTCCTTCTCATTAGGTGGCCAAAGTACTTGAGTTTCAACTTCAGGATCTGGCCTTCTAAAGAGCAGTCGGGGTTGATCTCTTCTAGGACTGACCGGTTTGAACGCCTTGCAGTCCAAGGGACTCTCCTGGATGTTGACCCCTATACTTTTGTATGCTGTGAGGATAATTTTACTTCAACACAACTGATGATTTTGGGTATACACTGAATTACTTTATTGATGATTTCTTCTATTTTGTTATGTTCGTGATTTTTACTGTATCTCTTCAGAGTCTACTAAGACTGGAAGAGGAAAGATTGAAAATAATTTGACAATGAAAGCAATCTTTCTTTCTCTTTCTTTTTCTCTCCTTCTTTCATTCCTTCTATCCTCCATCCCTCCTTCCTTCCTTCTTTCTCTTTCTCTTTCTTCCTCCCTCCCTCCCTCCATTTATTTATTTATTTATATATCTTTCTCTCCTTCTATCATTCCTTCTACCCTTAATTCATTTCCTTCCTTCCTTCCTTCCTTCCTTCCTTCCTTCCTTCCTTCCTTCCTTCCTTCCTTCCTTCCTTTCTTTCTTTCTTTCTTTCTTTCTTTTTTCAGGAGTAGTTTTGATGAAACCACTACAAAGTTCTGTGTTGGGTGTGTGACAGAAGCTATTGAATATTTGCATTCTATGAGTATAATCTACAGGGATTTGAAACCAGAAAATTTAATTTTGGATGCCCAGGGTTATATAAAGTTGGTAAGTTTTTTTAAAAAAAGAAATATAGGGGCATTGTTAAGAAAAGTTTGTTTTGCATTTGATAAGGTAAGATAAGGTAAGGTAAGGTAAGATAAGATAAGATAAGATAAGATAACCTTTATTGTCATTTTTTTACTGTGGGCACAACAGCACTCATCAAAAATGAAATTTAGTTGCCCGCTCTCAAAGTGAAACACATACATGACGCACACCTAAACATACTATGAACAACATATGTATAGACCCACATCCCTACATATACGTAGCAAATAAATATTAAATACTGTCCATCTTGAATATATAACGGAAGGAGGAAGCTTGAGAGTTCACAAGGCTAATGCTGTGTGGAATGAAACTATGCAACCATTCAAAGGAAAGTTTAAGAATGCTTATATCTTTACACATTTATGCTACTGAAAATAAAATTATTTTATCTTGAATGTTAGGAAGAAATATCATTGTGGAAAGACATATATTGATTTATACTTACATGCTAACACAAATGCATTTACAGTATATATTATTTTTCATTAGAGACAATCCTGACTCTTTCTTTGCTAAACTGGTAATATATTTTCCTGTCAATTTCCCACGCACTAACAAGTTCCTGCAGTGTTTACAGTTGATCAAAACTATAGAGTGAGAAGGGTATATATTGGGGATTTCAGATGTGGAATAGGAATATTCTTTATTGGCCAAGTGATTGGACAGACAAGGAATTTGTCTGCTGAGCATAAGCTCTCAGTATACATACAAGCAACAAAGTGGTAGGTCATAGATCATGAATCATAAGATACAATAATAAATCATAAGATACAAACAAATGACAAATCATAAGACCCCAATAGGAGAAGGTAGTAGGAAAGATGAGAAAATGAGAAAGATGAGAAGGATAATAGCAATACAGCCCTACTACATGGGTAAATGTCTTTAGGCATAAGACAGTGCTTGCAGTCAAATTCCAATTACTAAGTCTTGCAGTCAAATTCCAATTACTAAGGACTAATAGCAAAAGATAGCTTGCTACTCTTTTGGTTATACTCTTCCCAAGATGTATCTAGTAGCCACTGTATGAGGAAGAATATTGAATCCATCTCAGTAGAACAGTGTTTCCCAAACTTGACAATTTTAAGGCATGTGGACTTCAACTCCCAGAATTCCACAGCCAGCAATGCTGGCTGTGGAATTCTGGGAGTTGAAGTCCACATGCCTTAAAATTGTCAAGTTTGGGAAACACTGCAGTAGAAGATCTTATAACAGACAGAAACAAGAAAAATAACCTGAGGTAAAACTATCCAGTAACAGCCTCTTCTTCTCTTCTTTGACCCACAAGGTTGACTTTGGGTTTGCTAAGAAAATCAGAGCAGGGCAGAAGACCTGGACCTTCTGTGGGACTCCTGAATATGTCGCACCTGAAGTCATTTTGAATAAAGGCCATGATTTCAGTGTGGATTTTTGGTCCCTCGGAATCCTTGTGTATGAACTGCTTACAGGAAAGTATGTCCCAGGAGACTGGATTCTTCTGGCCTAGACTGAGGGCCATATTGGGTTCATAAGGTTTATGCTTATAAAATGAGAGAGGGGCCCATAGCTCAAGGGTTGTACACAACTCTTGTCCTACATCTGAGAATTGTTTCTACTTCATCTTTGGGTATGCAAGAAACAGAGAAGGTTTGGTGTAGAACAGCCCAGAAAGCAAAAAGGGGCACACTGTGCTCACTATCAGTTGCAATTGCTGATTGTTTTTTTCAAGTTGTGAGGTGCCCTTTGTATGGCAACTATTTTTCAGCTGTGTTTCATGGCAAGGTTGCCAAAATTGTAGCTCATTAGTCTTATATTTGTGCCCTCCTTTGAAGGGATAGGGCTAAAAATTTGGATTTTTTTCTTTACATTGGGACATTTGAAGGAGCAAGGGTATACTTTAAGCCTTGCAGAAGACTTAAAGAATCTATAGAAAGCCACTTTGGTCTAGTCTAGTGGCTAAGACACCAGGCTAAAAAGCAGGAGACGGTGAGTTCTAGTCCCGTCTTAGCCATGAAAGCCAGCTGGATGACTTTGAGCCATCTCTCTCTCAGCCCCTCATAGGATTGTTGTGGGAAAAAGTAGAAGGAGCAAGGTGTATTGGTTATGTTCTCTGCCTTAAGTTTAAAAATAATAAAGACGGGATACAGATAAATAAATAAAACATTAGTCTTTAAAATCTCTAAACCCAAAATATATGTCAAGTGCAGGAAATGAAGAGTCCAGGCAATTCAAAAAGAATATAGCTTTATTATAAGCTAATGCTCTCTACAAAAATCTGAACAGCTAATGGTAAAAGCAAATAGATGGTAGATGTAAGTCAACAGAATTCAAGATGGGCTGGACTTAGATCTCCTGTGGTATGAAGGAACTGGAGACTGATGACGTGCTTGACCCCTTTCCTTGGGCTCAGCCTGGTCATCTCCTACAACAGTGGTTCCCAACCTTTTCTATACCCCGCACCCCTTACAAAAGTTTGAAATAACAGCAACAAATTATGCTATAATTTTGAAAACCCAAGTTTTCGCACCCCCTGGAATATCGTCTCGCACCCCTGGTTGGGAACCCTTGTCCTACAATATAGCTTGTCTCCACTCAGTTTTGAAGTGATATGCTCATAAATTCTGATACAGGGTTTATTTTGTACTTCCTTTAGCTAATGGAAGTGACATTTCTCTGTTTCACAAGGAGGAGGAATAAATGCTACGGTAGTATCTGCAATTAGACTGTCCTTATAACGGCAAGACTAAAAGTGTGTAGCTGGGTAGGTGTCTTCCCGAGTTACAGGCCATTGTAGGCAGATAATCTTGGGCCAGAAAGAACTAATAGTCTTATGTCTATGGAGATTCTCAGTCGTCCAGATCTTGGTTGTCCAGAAGGTAATTTTTCAAGAGGCAACTGGATTTCTTTCTTCCTTCCTTCCTTCCTTCCTTCCTTCCTTCCTTCCTTCCTTCCTTCCTTCCTTCCTTCCTTCCTTCCTTCCTTCTTTCTTTTCTTTTCTTTTCTTTTCTTTTCTTTTCTTTTCTTTTCTTTTCTTTTTTTGAAGACATTTCACTTCTCTGAAGAAGCTTCTTGGATGAGAAGCCAAACATCTTCAAATTAAAACAAGAAAGTCCAGTTGCCTCTAGAAAACCACCTTTGGGACAACTAACAGTCTTGATTTGGAGACCCTGGCATTAGGCTGTACTCAGCCTTGACATTTCCTGGGTATAAACATCAATCCTCACATTTTGGTTCAACCTAACTACAGGTAGTCCTTTACTTACAACCGTTCTTTTAGTTACCGTTTGAAGTTACAACAGCACTGAAAAAAGCGATTTATGACCGTTTTTCGCACTTAACAACCATGGCAGCATTCCCCATTGTCAGGTGATCAAAACTGAGATGCCTGGCAACTGATTCATATTTATGATGTCCCGGGATCATGTGATCACCTTTTACAACCTTCTGACGAGCAAAGTCAATGAGGAAGCCAGATTCACTGTACAGTCATGTCACTAACTTAACATCTGCAGTGATTCACTTAACAACCGTGGCAAAAAGTTTGCAAAATGGTGCAAAACTCACTTCACAATTGTCTTGCTTAGTGGCATAAATTTGGGGCTCAGTTTTGGCTGTAAGTTGAGGACTACCTATGAATCCCCCCTAAAAATCATCTGAAACCCAAAACACAGCTGATGAGAAAAACCAGTTTGTGATTCATCTAAATCCTGTCTTTGTTTAGAGCAGGGGTAGGCAACTTTGGCTCTTTTATGACTCGTGGACTTCAATTCCCAGAATTCCTGAGCCAGCATGGCTCAGCTTGGAAATCTCTCCCTTTCCCCTCAGCATGGCTGGCTCAGGAATTCTGGGAGTTGAAGTCCACAAGTCATAAAAGAGCCAAGGTTGCTTACCCCTGGTTTAGAGGAACAGCCTAGCATGTGAGGAAAACACACAATTTCTTTTTTCATAATCATGCATCTTCTTTTCCTCCCCTTCCCTCAATTTTGAAATGACACCTACTGAAGTCCTCCCTTTACTGGAATCGATCAAATGATGACCTACAATTCGATTTTAAAAGGCGTTGAGAGACTGGACTTCCCCAGAATAGTAACCAAGCGCCCTGAGGATTTGATTCGACGGCTTTGCAGGTGAGGGAAGAACAATTGTGTTGCAGAGGTGTGAGGAGAATAATTGAGCTACGTTGTATTTCTTTTAACACCCAATATCCAGCCAGATTTTAATCTAAAATCTTATGTTCGTTGGTGTTATTAAGCAGTGTAATTCCATACAGATCTATTTAGACCAGCGTTTCTCAACCGTGGCAACTTGAAGATGGGTGAACTTCAACTCCCAGAATTCCCACATGACCTGAAGTGTTTCTCTGACATTTTTCATCATGGCGTTAAGCTAACGCAACAGTCATTAAGCAAATGTAGCAGTCATTAAGTGAATCCACTCAGTCAAATGCCATTTTTTTGCCAACAACTAGCAAAAAATGTTGCAGATCGTGGTCACGTGACCACAGAGGTGGATGAGTGGTTACAACCATTTACAATCGCTCTGAAGTGCTTTACAGGCTATAAAGGACCTCTTTGGTGGCTATAAAGGACCTCTTTGGTTTACATAATAAATGTAAACACTCATTAAGTGACTGGTCATTATTCAAGGACTACCTGTATAATACCTTCAGCAGAATTTCTTGATGTTCTGTCCCCATTTTTCAAACAGAATGGACACCATAAATCTTCATTTCTATGCCTTGAATAATATTTCACATAATCATGCTCTTAGTCTCTTGCTTTTAATTAACCTACAGCCATTTTAATTATATATATGGATCATGGGAAGCCTTGAGCTGTCAAACCACTAATGTGCAAGGAAGCAGTGTAAATCAATCTTGTGGATCACATTTGGCTGTTAGAAATTAATATCTGATTATTATGGGAATTGCTTCAGACCCATTGATATATACTGTAATTGCCCTAAACAGGGGTTCTCAACCTTGGCAACTTTAAGACTTGTGGACTTCAACTCCCAGAATTCCTCAGCCAGCTTTGCTGGCTGAGGAATTCTGGGAATTGAAGTCCACAAGTCTTAAAGTTGCCAAGGTTGAGAACCCCTTCCCTAACAGATACTGAATAAGTCATTCGTTTTAATCCTCTGACTAGGAGAAGTTTGCATTTTTTTTTTAAATGATACCAAGCTTAGATTTTGAGACTCCTCAAACATTTCATGAAGTAAAGAACCTGCAGCTGGACTCAGTCATCCAGGTCACAGTTATCCCAAAGATGCTTTTTCACAAGGCAACTGGACTTTCTTGTTTTTCTTTGAAGATGTTTCGCTTTTCATCCAAGAAGCTTCTTCAACCTCTTTGGGATAGATTCCTGGAGAATAAGGCTATTAATGGGCAAAGCTCTATGCCACTTTTCTGGTCACCCATATACACCAAAAACATCAGTGAACTTGTAGATTTCTTTGTCTTCAAGTTCCATGTTCCTTTCCCATAGCAGACATGGCATCTAAAATATCTGCTCAAACGATCACATATGCACACCAGCCAGAAGGATTGGAAATCCTTCAGCTGCCCCACAGATTATCCATGGATAGTACAATGTATAGTAAAGTGTTAAACCTGAGAAGATATACAATTTGGTCTGTCACCAGGTCAGCCCTGTGTCACCAGTTGCCTTTGAGCCAGTCTCTTGTTTTGAGCTCAGCCCACCTCAGTTACTGGATAAGAAAAAAATAAGAAGACATCCCTGTACACCCCCTTTCAGCTCCCAAAGAAAAAATATAAATAATAATAACCATGGTAATAATAAATCGATTCCCTCCCAATCACTTTTATCCTGCAAATCAAGCTGGAGATTCTCAAGTCTCTGAGGTGCACCAGGAAATTAATGATGGAGTTATGTAGATATTTTCTAAATTATAAAGTGTGTACTCATCCTCTTCCTCTGTCTGTCTCTTACTCACAAATGTACACTAGACAAAGTCCTACAGAGAGATTAGGAAATCTGAAGAATGGAATCCATGACATTAAGAGGCACAGGTAAATTGTATTTGTTTGTGTGTTAGTGTATATATTTATTTATATGTTTAATTTTTTTGTTTATTAAATTTATTGGCTGCCCATCCTACCACAGGGTAAAGGTTTAAAGATTTGGGTAGTAATCAATGAAGAGTTTGACTATACATAAATTCTCTCATTTTACTGCTGTCATTGATTTTAATGCTTAAGAGAAGCGTTTGTAACTGCGGCCCTCAGGCCAAATTAACAGTCAGGCTGGTTTCAATGTACAATTGTACAGTATATCTTGGCCTCAGTTCAGATCCCAAAGGCAGGAGACCAGTGAAGATCACTAGTTAGGGCCAACACTCCCTTCCTTGAAGTGTCTGATGCTTTTAACAAAGAAAAGATACCGTCAGGAGCTGGAAGAAGAGATAACAATACGGAAAGCTGCCCCCACGTTTTGGCTGTAGACCCCAATTGCTTGTCTGACCCGGGTATGGCAGATAGTCCCCAACAGATAAGCTGTAGGAATGATGTGCTGAATAACTGCAAAAAGGTTAAACATATAGTAATAGTAATAGTAGTAACGTTGGAAGGGACCTTGGAGGTCATCTAGTCCAACCCCCTGCTCAGGCAGGAAACCCTACACCATTTTGGACAAATGGCTGTCCAGTCTCTTCTTAAAAACTTCCAGTGTTGGAGCATTTACTGCTTCTGGAGGCAAGCCCTTCCACTGATTAATTGTTCTCACTGTCAGGAAGTTTCTCCTTAGTTCTAGGTTGCTTCTCTCCTTGATATTCTGGCGTTAACACAAAGGAAGGTAACCCAAAACTCTGGTATTATAGTGGTATGTGGGAATGACCTTGGAAGACATGATGAAGAGATACAAACAAGGCAACTGGCATGCAAAAGATTTCTTGGCCCACAGAAGGAGGAAGGGCATACAAAACATTTCAGAAGGAAATCCCCCCCCCCCTATTTTCCAGAGAGTAAAAGGGGAGGAAGGGGGAAATACAGGTAGTCCTCAACCACTAGTTTAGTCACCATTCGAAGTTATAAGGACACTGAAAAAAGTCATTTATGACTTTGTAGCATCCCCATGGTCACATATCAAAAATCAGACACTTGTCAACTGGCTCGTATTTATGATGGTTGCGGTGTCCTGGGCTCATGTGATCACTTTTTGTGACCTGAGAAGCAAAGTCAATGTGGGAGCCAGATTCACTTAACAACCGTGTTACTAACGTGACAGTTAAGTGTTGTGATTCACTTAACAACTGTGGCAAGAAAGATCATAACATGGTGCAAAATTCACTTTATCAGCCGTCTTACTTAGCAACAGAAATTTTGGGCTCAATTGTGGTCGTGAGTCAAGGACTACCTATACTTTGGGTTTTGCAAGATTCTGTTAATGTGGCCTTAGAACAGGGGTAGGCCACCTTGGCTCTTTTATGACTCGTGGACTCCAACTCCCAGAATTCCTGAGCCAGCATGGCTCAGCTTATTTATTTATTTATGAGACTTATATACCGCTTTAAGTGCAAGCACTCTCTAAGCGGTGTACACCAGTAAGCAATGTATATATATATTTACATTGCCCCCAACAATCTGGGTCCTCATTTTACCTACCCCGGAAGGATGGAAGGCTGAGTCAACCTTGAGCCGGTGAGATTTGAACCGCTGACCTGCTGAACACAGTCAGCTAAAGTGGCCTGCAGTACTGCACTCTAACTGCTGCGCCACCTCGGCTCTTTTCTTGGAAACTTTCCCTTTCCCCTCAGCATGGCTGGCTCAGGAATTCTGGGAGTTGAAGTCCACGAGTCATAAAAGAGCCAAGGTGGCCTACCCCTGCCTTAGAACAAAGTAGAATTAGCTCATCAAGTCATGTTTCCCCTCGGGACTAGCTAGAAAAGCTGGTATCAATCTTGCAAGACTAAAGATACAAATCTCCCACCCTTGCTTTTAGTCCTGATAAGAATTTCTTTCTCCACCCAGTATGCAGCTGCAGGCTCCACTGTCTCTTATCTAATCAATCCCTAGATAGGATCTGTTCTGTTTCTCACAATCATCCCCACTTAGCATTATAGCAGTCCACTGGTAGAAAACGTAGGGCAGACAGGTTTCGGTGTGTAACAGGGAGGATTTATTATGGACTTATTTATTATGGACCCTTGACAGATGACAGGACACTGCAGCCCTTGAACAGAAAAAATATTCTCCAATATCCATCCCTATTTTAACAGTAAGATGCAGTGGCAGGTTTGTTTGGGACCATAAGTGGGACACCAGTTAAATAACCGTCTTGCTGTTTAACTTTCCATTCTAGGTGGCTGAATGGTTTTAACTGGGAAGGACTCAAAGCAATGAAGTTGTCATCACCCCTAAAAAGAGAGGTACTCAAGCAGTCCCTTTTAAATTAATGATCAGCTACATGCACAAGCCAGTGTCTCATTTTTATCAGGAACAGTATTACTGGAGTTCCCCTTTAAGATATGTGTTATGAAGATGCCACAGAGGTACTGTTCCCTCCACACTAATTTGGGTCAGTGGGGACAGAGTTATTGTATTGTGGACCTATCAACAACGAGTTGGTTGGCTCATTTCATCCCTTATAACTCCAAATATATCTAATTATGACAAAGTTAAAATAACACAACCTAAGTCAGTTATGTTGTAGGGGCACCTATACAAATTAATTTGTTTTGACCATCTAATCCTCCAGAAAAATCTGGAGAGGAATGTCCAGAAGAGAAAACCTCTCTGTTACAGACCTCACTAGCAAAGCCTGGTGTTGTACAACACATCTCCGAACACTGATTGGCTGTAATCCCCAATCCATACCCATGGTTGCCTAGTCAGCCAATAGGAAAGAGGCTTGTAATGAAATGAAGTCTTGCCAAGACCTTCCCATGCAAGGCCTGATGGGACATCAGGCAGAAATGGCAGAAATTGGATCCAAAGGGGTAGCTGGGCATGGGCTTTATTGTGATTGTCACGTGTTAAGCCCAACATAGGGCATAATAATTTGATGGGATCTGGTAGCAAAATATCTCTTTTAAGATTTTGTTCAAGTATGCTTAAAAGGGGACTGATGGTTCAGCGGTTAAAGACACTAAACTTGTCAGCTGGAAAGCTGGCAGCCTGCGTTTGAGACCCCAGCATGTTGCAAAGGGGTGAGCTCTCATTCTTTGCCTCAGCAGTTCTTTGTCTCAGCCCACTTAGCAGTTCGAAAGTATGCAAATGCGAGTAGATAAATAGGTACCACTTCGGTGGAAAGGTAACAATGAAACGGGGATGAATACCTTAGAGTTGGTCACAACTGGACAGGGAAACCTTCAACCTTTTCCTTCAAGTATGCTTATACCATAACTCTTTTATAGCTTTCAGGCCCTATGGACTACAGCCACTTCGACAGATATCCACCTGAACAGGGAGTTCCGCCCGATGAACTTTCAGGCTGGGATAAAGATTTCTAAGAAGAAGGCTAGTGATGTAATTGTCCTCATCCACTGGTTGTCTGCAGGGACTGCACACGTACTTCTTCAGGGCACAGCCGAGATGCACTGAAATTGCATTTAAAATTCAAAGGACCATGGATCGCTCTCTAATTTTCTCGGTAAATTCCCAACACAAAAGTATTGCGTTGGGAAGCTATGCCTTCCGAGCAACAGAACAAAGGGGAGCAGTGACCAGCAGTTTAGCGCCCTGCCAAATTAAATTCCACAATCATCTCCTTCGGAAGTGTGTGTGACCCATTTATTAACATCAGTATCTATGCTGTAATGTGCTTTGCATAAAATGCCTCGGTGAGCTATCTTGGATCAGATGAGGAACAAAGGAGCGTGAGGGGAATGCTGGAAAGAGAGTAGCATTTAAATAGCTTTGTGAAGGTCTCAGCGCCAGACCTTCCGGGATAAATGAAACCCATTCTTAACAGTGGATGACTCCTGAAAACTAAAATGTGCCTCTGAAATCTTTTCCCTTAAAAAAAAAAAATCTTAAAATTAAGGTGTATTATTCTTACAAAAGCAAAAACATGCAGATGTAAAAATGCAGAAAATAAAAATAAACGAATGCCAAAAAAGGGAAAAAAAGTAGTAAAAACTAGATGTACAGTACATGCATAGACATACACGTGTATTTGATTTATTTTCCATAGATGAAGTGTGTGTATATCTCCTATAGACACACACAAACACATTCACATTTTCACAGAAAATTTCTATTTCTGTTATTTCTATTCTAGTTTCTATTCTTTCAGGGAGGAATGAATCAATGCAGTTGTACAAAGCATTTGATGACCAATTAGACTTTCAAGAAGAAATTCAATCGTTACTGAAAAATTATTTCCATAAGTAGTCATTTCTATATGTTTCACTTAATTCTGTAAAGATACGAAGAGAGATTTATGTTTATAGGTAGTTTTTGGACATAATGTTTAAAAAAATGGAGTGCCGTAGGTAGGCACTGTAATAGAAATATGTTTTAAAAAGTTAAACTTTGCTGAGTCCCCCTGTGCGGGAATCTTTTCTGAACTCCATAGTATTTTTTAAATCTTTTCTTAATGCTTGCTCCCTTTTTTCTAGATCTGCCCATGTCTGATCTATCAACTGCATGCACCTAAACAGGGCTATGGTCAAAAAAATCAAGATGGACTGGATATGACAGTGCAATCCAAGCTCCACCTGCTTTTTTTCCCGTGAATCACAAAAGCAACACACAGTGAAAACGGGCAGAGCATTAATTACACCATTATGTCCAGCATTTTGACAATTTTGACCATGCCCCTCTGAAGCTGAGGCAGCTTTCCTTGATAATGATAAGCATTATCTTAATGGCCCGCTGTGATCTCTTTTCAGAGCTTTAAGTATTCTTTTGTGGGGATGATTTATAGTAGGTAACTCACTCACACAATGGATTATTTGGAATTCAAGCACACTAGCCACATGAGAGGCTATTTATAAAGACAGAGATCCTGTCTGTTTTGTTTTTTTAAAAAAAGTTCAAGTCTTCCAGTTTTAAAATAAACCGATCAAAATTAGTAATCAAAGATTTTATTTTGTGGTAGAGCAGTGGCTTGAATGTAGGGGTATAAGATCATTGGATGGATCCTGGGTCTGCATCCTAGCCATAATAATATAGTTGATAAGGGATCCATCGGGATCTAGACCGAACTTTTGTGGAATATGCTAAGGAAATGAAGCTTGGATCTTTTGTATGCCTAGTGCAGGGGTAGGCAATCTTGCTCTTTTATGACTCGTGGACTTCAACTCCCAGAATTCCTGAGCCAGCCATGCTGAGTAGAAAGGAAGGGTTTCCAAGCTGAGCTATGCTGGCTCAGGAATTCTGGAAGTTGAAGTCCACGAGTCGTAAAAAGCCAAGGTTGCCTACCCCTGGCCTAGTGAACGCTCTATGAGTGCGCAAATGGATCCTTCTTGATCCATTCTAATAGTGGTTCTGCAAAATAAGGGGTGGGTGGGAATTCTGCACTTTTACAGAAATGGTATCTCCAGGTAAATGATCCCAGGTGTTTGGGCTGCGAAGCATCTCTGCTAGTTGAATGTAACGGTCCTTCCATCCAATGTAATTCATTTTTATTTAGATTCTCTCAAACAGGGATGGTTTTCCCAAATGACCATTTGTCATACTGGCTTGGCCTAATGGAAATTGGCATCAGCAACATCTGCCAAGCTACAGAAGTCTTACTTTGATGTAAAGGAACTCTGTAGATGCCAACTGATACCCATTAGTAATACCAAAGACTGTGCATTGTCACCAAGGCATCTCTAATTTTTGCCCTGTTTTGGAACTTTTCGAAATGTAAAGGCTGTAAAATATTTTTTTAAAAACAACAGAGTGCTTTCCCTCTATTTATTTGTATATAAATGCAATCGTCATTCCTATATGTTTGAGAATATTTTTAATGACCGCAGGAAGCCACATTTTATTGCACAGTGTAGAGAGCAAGAGACAGCCCTTGTCCTTTTTAATATTTGTCAAATGCATTGATTTCTTTGTGTGCATAAATAAATCCGTTCTACAACATCTTGCATTTCATTGGGTTGTATTTTTCCATGTTGTCATAAAGGGTAAGACAACTCTGGCTTCTGGCACATTGCTGCCTCCTCCAGTAATGGGAGTTCAGAAGGGACTTTTCTCCAAATTAATGCAAATGATGGGTTGTGAAAACCAGGGCCGAAAATGGGTAAACAGCCTTTCACAAAATAATAATAATAATAATAATGATGATGATGATGATGATGATGATGATGATGGAAAGAACCTTGGAGATCATCTAGTCCAACCCCCTACTCAGGCAGGAAACCCTACCATATCAGACAAATGGCTGTCCAGTCTCTTCTTTAAAACTTCCAGTTTTGGAGCATTCACCGCTTCTGGAGGCAGGTTGTTCCACTGGTTAATTGTTCTCACTGTCAAGAAGTTTCTCCTTAGTTCCAGGTTGCTTCTCTCCTTGATTAGTTTCCACCCGTTGCTTCTTGTCCTGCCTTCAGCCGCTTTGGAGAATAGCTTGACTCCCTCTTCTTTGTGGTAGCCCCTGAGATATTGGAACACTGTTATCATGTCACCCCTCATATTTCTCTTCATTAGATTAAACATACCCAATTTCTGCAGTCTTTCTTCATATGTTTTAAGCTCCAGTCCCCTGGTCATCTTTGTTGCTCTTCTCTGCACTCTATCTAGAGTTTCAACATTTTTTTTACATCGTGGTGACCAAATGACAGGGATTCAGTCAAGTTTCCCATGCATGTTCATGCTAAAAGATGAAAAATTGAGATATAAGTAGTCTTTGACTTACGGCTATAATTGAGCCCAGAATTATGGTAGTCAATTGTGCCGTTGTCATCGTGACCGTGACTGATTTTGCAACCTTTTTTTAAGTGGCCGTTAAGCAAATCCATTGTCTGTAATGGGTGTTGATTATTTTTTTTGTGTGGAAACTGGAAATCAAACATTAGTTTCTGACAAAAAATGTCACAAATCATGATCACATCGCCACAGGACATGAATGCCGGCCAACTGCTGAGCAGCCAGAATGCAATCACGTGATGATAAGGGTGGCCCACCGTGAGAAATTTGATTCCAGGTTGTAGGTAGCCTTGGGAGGTCTGTCGTAACTTCGAACAATCACTAAGCCACCCGTTGTAAATATGTGCGCCTTGTAACAGTTTTGTAACGCATTGTAGCAGTGGTGTTCAGAGGAGGTGTGTATCAAAATCTGCAAGATGAAAAGTGCAGCATTGTGATCCAAGGTCCATTTCTTGTATGTATGTATATATGTATGTCTTGAGTGGTTTTTTGATATACCTATCAGCCCAAATATGGGAAGAAGAAATCTATTTGGGCTGACAGGTGTATCAAAAAAACACTCAAGACATATTTCCTCACTCTCTTCCCTTCTCTCCCTGATACAGCTAACAAAGTGAGAAAGAGCCTGTGGCTTAGAGGTCAACGCAGCTGCCTAACGTGCTAGCAGCCCAGGTTCGAATCTGGCTGATGAGAGCTAATTAGCTCAAAATAGTTATCCCAGTCCCCCTTAACTCTTTGTTGGCAATCCAAAAATTTAGCATATATGTATGTATGTGTATGTATGTATCAATGTTGCATGCATATATGACTGACTTCTTGCAGATTTTGAACCTTCTTCGTAGACATTCCTGCATTCTCTAGATTAGAAGTGCAAAAGATGTCTAGGGAGAGTCTCAGTCAACAATGTCATGGTCGTCCCAAAGGTGCTTTTTCAAAAGGCAACTGGCCTTTCTTGGTTTTTTTCCTTGAAAACGTTTCACTTCTCATCCAAGAAGCTTCTTCACTTCTGGCTGAATAGTGGAGAATGGAAGGATATATATTCCTAGTAGTCATCTGGTTGTTAGCACTCTCTCTGAAAGTTGTTGAGGCCACTTTGGAGGTTTATCTGTGTCCTCAGGGTCACCAGAATAGTGCAAATGCGTGTGGGGACCTTCTTTCAGCAGTTCCAAGACTGTTCCACACCCACTGGCACTCTGATTCAGATGACCCTGAGGGCACAGACAAAGCCCCAAGGGGGCTCAACGGCTCTCAGAGACAGTGCTAACGACCAGATGACTGCAAAGAAATATGATCCTTCCATCCTCCCCACATTCCTGCAGGAACCGATGAAGCTTCTTGGATGTGAAACCAAACATCTTCAAGGAAAAACGAAGTCCAGTTGCCTTTTGAAAAAACATTTTTGAGACAAATGCAAAAAATGTGCCACTTTAGCCTAAGAGAGCTATCTTTCTTTTAGCTGGCTGGCTCAGGAATGCTGGGCGTTGAAGTCCACGAGTCATAAAAGAGCCAAGGTTGCCCACCCCTGACCTACTGAATGCTCTACGAGTGCTCAAATGGATCCTTCTTGATCCATTCTAATAGTGGTTCTGCAAAATAAGGGGTGGGTGGGAATTCTACACTTTTACAGAAATGGTATCTCCAGGTAAATGATCTCAGGTGTTTGGGCTGCGAAGCATCTCTGCTAGTTGAATGTAACGGTCCTTCCATCCAATGTAATTCATTTTTATTTAGATTCTCTCAAACAGGAATGGTTTTCCCAAACGACCATTTGTCATACTGGCTTGGCCTAATGGAAATTGGCATCAGCAACATCTGCCAAGCTACAGAAGTCTTACTTTGATGTAAAGGAACTCTGTAGATGCCAACTGATACCCATTAGTAATACTAAAGACTGCGCATTGTCACCAAGGCATCTCTAATTTTTGCCCTGTTTTGGAACTTTTCGAAATGTAAAGGCTGTACAATATTTTCTTCATCTTTTAATGCAATAAAATAGCCACAACTATTTACAAGATACTGTATATATTAGCAAGCTAACATCTATGGCCTTTTAAATCCCTGGTATGTTCCCTCATATCCTTTTAGTCCTTTTTCATCTTCGTCTTTGTATATTTTCTTTAAAATGTCCAATAACACCAAAACTGGATATTTGGCAATTAAAGCTGCATTTTTTTTTTAAAAAAAGCCACTTAACAAAACCTCTTTTTCCCACCATGTAACTGTTTAGGCGCAAAACCCAGAAGGCCACTAGCAGAGGCTCGTACAATATTACCATCGCAATAGCCCTCTAAAATTCTCAATGGTACTTGAGAGACAGTGAACACCTTTTGAGATTATGTTTATTTTGTTAATGAAAGATAATTTTTCATCCATCTTCCCGACAAGCTCCTATTAATCGGCCTAGTACTTTATGAAGCATTCTGACACCTGGATATCAAAATAACAGGGTTTTAGGACATAGAACATAGAATAATAGGATTGGAAGGAACCTTGAAGTATTCTTGTCTAATCCCCAGCCCAAACAGGAGATGCTATATATCAGTGGTTCTCAACCTTTTTAATGCCACGACCTCCAACCGATCGTAAGTCGAGGACTACTCAACCGGTCGTAAGTCGAGGACTACTCAACTGGTGCAGCATCGTTTGCAGAATAGGACTTTTGGCAGGCTCAGCAGGGCAGAGACAGCCTGGACAATTCCTATTGGCTTTTGAAAGCCAATAGAATTAGACTCTATCCAAGAGACTCTATTCTATTGGCTTTCAAAAGCCAATAGAATAAAAGGGAGTAGCACAGCTAAGGAAAAGGGGGAAAAATGGCGGACTGCGTTGTTTGGCGACCCCCGTGAAATGGTCATTCGACCCCAAATGGGGTCCCGACCCACAGGTTGAGAACCGCTGCTATATATCATTCTGGACAAACGGCTGTCCAGTCTCTTTTGGAAACCTCCAGAGTTGAAGCACTTAAAACATCCAGAGGTAAGTCCCAAAGGTGCTTTTTTTCCAAAAGGCAACTGGACTTTGTTTTTTTTTTCTTTGAAAACATCTCACTTCTCATGCAAGACATTTCTTCAGTTCCAAGAAAGTCCAGTTGCCTTTTGGAAAAAACACGTTTGGGACAGCCATGACCTGGATGATTGAGATCTCCATTGACTTCCAAAGCTAAGCCGTTCCACTGATATTGTCAGGAAATTCCTCCTCAGTTCGAGATTGGGTTTCTCTTTAATGAACTCCCACCCATTATGTCTTGTCCTGCACGCAGATTGACCCCCCCCTTTGTAATAGCCCCTGAAGTACTAGAAGACTGCCATCATATCATCCCTAATCTTTCTTTTCCTTGGACTAGACTGGGGTAGGCAACCTTGGTTTTTTTATGACTCGTGGACTTCATCTCCCAGAATTCCTGAGCCAGCATGGCTCAGCTTGGAAACTCTCCCTTTCCCCTCAGCATAGCTGACTCAGGAATTCTGGGAGTCGAAGTCCACGAGTCATAAAAGAGCCAAGGTTGCCTACCCCTGGACTAGACATATCTGGTTCTGTCAATTGTTCATCATGTGGTTTTGTATTGTGGTTTATCCCAGAGATGAACAAAACAGAACATTTCTTTCTTAGTTGCTTTTAACCTCACAGAACAGTTTGGCCCTCACCCAATTTTATCTCCTTGCTTCAAACCACAATCTTGTGACATCCCCAGGCAATAATTTAAGTACATTTATTCCTGCTGCCTCCAATACTGCCGTGCACATAGACTCAGGATAATTCATCATTAGACCAGCAACAAGACCTATCAATCTTCATCACAAGAGCTGGGCTCAAATATAACCTTTCAGAGGATTTGCTTCTGCAATTAACATGAGAATTAAGGACTTTTTGGAATGGTTAATGCAGGGTTAGGAATTATGGTTGTTCCGCAAAGCTAAACTCTTCTTTTAAACCTTGTCTTCACATTGAACAAGAATGAATGAATGAATGAATGAATGAAGACAGAGTTGGAAGGGACCTTGGAGGTCTTCTAGTCCAACCCCCTGCTTAGGCAGGAAACCCTATGCCATTTCAGACAAATGGTTGTCCAATCTCTTCTTAAAAACCTCCAGTGTTGGAGCATTCACAAGTTCTGGAGGCAAATTGTTCTACTGATTGTTCTGTCGGGAAATTTCTCCTTAGTTCTAGGTTGCTTCTCTCCTTGATTAATTTCCATCCTTTGCTTCTTGCCCACTGGG